AGCGGGCCAGGGAAAGGGGTACCGGGGGGTGAGGGCAGGATGTGCAGAGGGGGACGAAAAGGGCGCTTTGTACATTAATACAGGCCAAGGAAATACAGCAGCAAACACTGCGAAGGAGCCGTGTGGAGAGAACAGCAAATCCTGCCCCGCGTCCAGACACCAAGCAGGCTTCTGCGCTACCTGTTGAGGATGACAGAGAAGGCACCAGTGCTGCCTAGGAACCACCTGTAAACGTGGTGAGCTTGTGCTGCTGCTTCCTGGTGCTCCTGAAATTACAGCTACAAAGAAGAAAGAGGAGGACACGCTCATGGTGGAATTCTCATTTTGTTTATTCCCACCGATTACTGAAGAGAACACCAAATACATCAGCTACATCTGTTGTCACCATGAGGCAACAGAAGACCACACGATACCGAGCTAACTGCTAGTCACCTTACACACCACTACATGCACTTCCCAGAAAATAACTGAATAGGAAAACCAGAAGAAAACAAAGGGATAAGCAAGACTATCCGTATATAATCTCCATTACTGAGACTGATCAACACCAATTATATAAGAATAAGTAAATATGTAGCTGTTCTGTAGGCTTAAGTCAGATAAAATTAGGAAGAGGTATTAAATTGTCTTTGTTTCATGATTCAAGTCAGGTTATACAGTCTGACAATACAGATGCAAACTCCTCTCTGCCCTCATATAAAGGCAGGTAGCAGACCTAATCATTAAAGAATCAAGAAGTATTACATACCATTAGCAACACTCAGTTTGGCTCTGTAGAAAAGTTTTGCCTTTTCAGGCTTGCAATTCTGTAATACATTAGCCTTATATACAAGGTGTTCAAACACAATAGCAGCAATACATTCCATGTTGATGCTCTTTAATACATCAGAGTAGTAGTTTGCTACTTAAAACTAAGTAAAATGTAATAAAAGTAAGTTTTTTACTTTACTATTAAGTTAACCAACAGAATCCCAGTCCCAAATACTAGTAATGCAATCTTGATGGGCCCTCCTCTCGCATCCAAAATAGTCACTACCTTTCACAGTGCTTTAAGAGGGGCTATGAAAATCAGAGCTGACTGGTTTGCACACAAAAAAGGGCAAATCCACTCTATGTGAGTGGTAGAAATGCCTCAGTTAATCAGACCAGACTTCTGGGTAATGGCAAAACGCAGACCACTGCAACCAGCAGTACTACAACATAGGAACTAAGAACACGGGTCACATGTGGCAGGAGAATGGTCACATTAGGATATGGCCACACTGAAAGGTTTTTGAAGGACGGACATGGAAACAGCTTAACATGAGCTTCAGCACCACACCAGGATGCTTAATGCAGAGATAAGGAGATAGAGACAGTAGTTGGAAATGGTATTCTTTAGAAGTACTTCAGGATTCTCACGCTGGTGTCTACCACACAAGATACAGAACGTTAGACTGGAAGGAAGATCTATTAGACCAATACACGGTTCTGAGCAGGCAGATGCCTACATCAGTCCAGAGTTTCCATCTCGTAACCAGAAGGCTGTTTAACCAACAGGAGAGGTGCAGTCTGTCTTCAGAAGCAGGATTCCTGATGCTAGATTAAACAGTAAGCCTACATCAGACAATTTTGTGGGGAAAACATCTCTCTACATTACAAACCCGGACAAGCAGTTAGTTATTCGCTGCGATCCTTTGGCTCTCGGTACTTCCACTGGATATAGTCAAAGATGTCTTCTTCACATTCGACTGGTAGGGCCTCCCCAGCAACTCCTGCAAGCAAAGTAGAGAAGCTGTTTGAAAGGTGGAGGGTCTGCACAATCCTGAAATGTTAAATGCATTGCAAGAGGAAGACAAAACTGCTGTAAGTAAAACAGACTTAAAAACCCAAAACAGAACACCCCCCACAGACCTTTTCATAGAGTGTTAGCTACTGATTCTCTTTCGTGTCAAAGGAAGGAAGGTAATGAATTAACTCTGGGGCCATGTGGTTATGCAGTTAAATATACCAATACTCGTGTGTATGTATATAGTCAGCCCCCCTCCAACACAAAACAACTGAAGGACACATCATGTCCTGTTAAAAGAGCAGGAAACCACATATGTGCTGTGCATGACACTGAATAAACAACCTTTAAGTCAGTAAGACTTGAAGTAGATGAGGTGGCCCAAAAAGGTAACTTTGGCCACTGCACTGCCTATACGTAAGTAAGCTGCTTCTTCCTGCTGTAATGATGTCTAATACCAGAAAGGACACAGTGAAAAACTGCATGAATTACAGCAGTTATCAGAAGTATTTCCAGTACACCGAGAAACCAGTTTAAGAGCACACAAAGCATGTAACTAGAAAGAATAGTCTGTGCAAAGACTGACCAGTGACACCCAAGCGACGGATTGTGTACTCATTGATGGTGAAGCCCATTTCCAGAGCATGAGTTCTCATGTTCTTATTGAATATATCACTTCCTGTGAAGTACAGCACACCACAGTAATACTGATCTTTGGGGATAAGCCTAGAATAAAAGGGGAAGAAAAGTACAGATTTAGACCAAACGTACAACATAACAGTTACAAAACATTTGGAATTCAACCATTCAGATGCTTTTCTGAGGTTACTTCCTATTTATGTGCACATATTCTGCAGCTCTGTAGATTTGGCAGATGCAAGAATGAAATTAAAAGCATCTCAAAGAAAGGTTCAGCTCATCTACCCTGACTCAGAAGTTACTGGTGTTCAGCTACTACACGGTTATGGCGCTTGCACTCCTGCCAAGAATTAATGTCAAAGCAGTATGATAAAGTAGGTCACAATTCTGGAATTGGACACAAATATAAATTAAATATAAATATAGATATAATATAAATACAAATATAGCATTCTTGCTAACAACCTGTTGTAGATCCTGGCAGCTGTACAGTGGCTTCCATACTACATAGGAATTAGAAACCTAGTAAATGCCTTGTTCTGAACATGGAAGTGGAGACCTGAATGCAGAACTTAGTGCAAATGCCTACTGTGTAGCAGACAGCTAAAGGCAGGGCTCTGGTCTGGGGTTTTGGTGGTTACCGGATATCAATCCTCCTGTGTGGATAGGCTGTTCCATCTTCTTTATTCAGCAGCTGACAGACACCCTGTGGGAAAGCAAGAAATTCTAATTAAACAGATTTGAGATCATCTTCCCCTCCCTGCCCTTCACCAACCTCCCAGACACCCTCAGTCATCCTGGAGAATGAAGTTAAACCCCCGCTGAACTGATGAGGTGTTTCCCTGTAAGAGCTGGATGTCACAGTAACCTGAAGCACTGTTTTACTCCACGAAGAGCCTGTTCTTCAATGGAGTGTCTAATTGCTTCCTATTTATTACAGAAGGAAGGATAACTTCTCATTTCCCGTTCTTCTGCCCTAATTATCATCAGGCTCTTTGGTATGCACAGACATCAGCACGTAAAGGAAAAGGCAGATGAAGCTCAAGCTAATAGAAATAAACCCAAGTTTTTCTTTAGAACTCCTCTGCCACTTTTCATTCCATCTCTCACCACCCAAAAAGCCTTACCATGAATTTTGTGTCTCCTTTAGATAGCACATCCGTGACAAAGTGGACTTTCTCCAGTTGTTCTACAACTTGATGCAGAAGTTTTGACTAGGAACACAGACAACACAGAAGAAGAAACCAACTTTTAAGCAATGAATCTATAAAAGCAACACGAGAAATATGAACTGGCACCAAGACTTCTCCAGAGTTAGTCCCAGAAGAGTGCAAGGGCAGCAAGATATTTGCTTCTCATCCAAAAGATTCCACCTACATAAAGCTTGAATCCCTAATTTATCCAGCTACCTGTTACATTTATTTAATACATTAATTTATCCAGCTACATTGTAAAAGCCCGTGAATTCAAAGGAGGGAGGAATTCTTGTGAAGCAAAGAGGAGAGACAGAAGGCTAAGAGTAAACATACTGAATAGTTCTGCAAGAGCACCACAACATAATACATGGACCTGAGAAATGATTGTAACTCCTCAGAACAAACACGGTAATCCAAGAGAAGAGTAACAAAAAGATGCAAGAAGCTGCAGTTCAAGTCTGAGATTACCCATCTTCTGCATTTAACCATACCCTTGTGGAAGCAATGCACAGTAGTGACCCACAGGAGCAGAGAAACGTACCTGTTTGGGTGATTCAGATGTGAAACTCGGGTGGGTCAGGAGAATATCCATATCGCCGCTTGACTCTGCGCCTGGGCAAGTAAGAAGAAACATCCCTCAGTGTATGACAAAATGTACTAACACTGGTGAACTTCCATCTAACCTCTTCCGAAAAACACGTTTTTCTGGTAGAAAATAGTCACTATTTAAGATATTTGTAAAAAAAAACCCTTAGTCTTCCATCAAAAAGTTTATATCCTCGCCTGTCGTGGAGAATACCCAAGAATTTCTTGCTGTACTCTATAGCAAGGAGGCACAAATGCTGACAAAAACCAAAGGAACAATTCAAGTGTTACAATACACTACTCTTTATAGGTGCAGGGTGGAGAAGCAATGATTCATGTGGGTGTTTCATCACTGAACTAACCAGTCAAGGCAATACCAAAGGCAGGTTCCAGCACAGACTTGCTCTCTAGAACAGCAAATATAGTAGTGACTCTTGCTTACTAGCCCAAAGGGAACATAAGATCACAGAGTACCAACCTCGTCTAAAACTGCCACAGACTGTGGCAATATAGTTTGGGTCCAGCTTCTTTACCTCTTTCAGCACAATTTCCTATATAAAAATGAAAGATATATGTTTAGAGGTGTCATTCATTGGCCACCAGCACCTCACGTCCTCAATAAAGACCTTCTTACCTGCATTTGCAGCATTTCTTCTCTTGGGATTCTTTTCTCAAAATCTTCAAAATATCTGCACATGTAAGTATATATAGAAATATAAAAAGAGTGGCAAGAGCAGCATCTTCAAATTTTAGTCAATTAAATGTGGGTCAGAGGAAAGAACACAACTTACATCACTGCCACATCACAAAGCTCCCCATTCTGACCAAACACCTTAGGAAGCATTTTGCCAAGCAACAGTTAAAACTCACAACTGCAAGTTTGACAATGCTTAGAAGATGGTTTAGTTGCACTTTATTTCCACTGTATATGAAGAGCTGCTAAGAGGTGGGAGTAACATTACTGTGCAACCTATTGGTTTATATTCACACAGCCCTCCAAAAGTAGAACAGGTTCCTGATAAACCTCAGTCCACCAGCAAGCAGTGAGGTCCCTCACCCATGGGCAGAGCTAATCTATACTGGGAAGAGCTAAAGTGAAGCTCACAGCTCAAATACAGCCTTGAGGAAACAAAAGCTCTGAGTAACTGCTGAAAAGCATGTAGAGCACAGACAGAACAGAACCTTACTTGGCCTGCGTAAGCCCACATTACAAGGCAGCATCTGAAAGAGTCATTAGAAAAGCCAAGCACTTGCACCCAAGAAAGCTTACTTCAGCCCAATTCGCTGGTGATGGGTCAGCTTGTGCTCGTTCTTCTTTAGATCTAGAAGAGTTAAGAAAAAAGAGTTACCTGAGGACTAAAACTCTTGCAGTGAGTTTCCACCAGAGCAAAGATGACGCACGCAAAGACCACGTAACAAGGCAACAGCAACCTCAGACACAAAGTGATTTTAAACTGACTCCTCACAGTGACAGAATGAGCACAAACGCACAGAGCACTTCCCAATGGAGACTTCAATAAACCATTCCCCTCAAAGCCAAAATCCTTGTTATTTTCCACATGATCTGATACGTATGTATTGCCTGTAGCCTGTCACTAACTTCAGCATCCTGCACAAGCAGGGAGTATCTGGCATCACAGTTGTACCACTGTGGAACAGGCAGTTTTGTCGAGGAAAAAACCATCACTGGAGTGTGAACTGAGGACCCACCGTTACATTTACCTTCTAAAGTCTTAATTCCTTCCTCAACAAACTTCCTGGCAGCAGCAGGACTGCAAAGAGACAGGACAATCTGCCATCAGGAACAGCAGGGATCTTAAAAGGACATCAGAGTTCACTGTAACTGCCTGGGGTCTTCAAGGCCACGACTGAAGTTGATGCTTCCCCTCCTTCCCCCAGCCACATTTGCACTCTGTACTTTTGGTCAGCTGAGGTGGCTTATCCAGGCCTTGGCCTGCACATTTTTTAGCATTGGTATAACTATATAGCAATGTATAATAACTATTATAATGTATATTAATGTTTAATAACTATAATGTATAATAATAATATAAAAATAAAGAAATCTCACCAAAGAGGCACTATTGCTTTAGATGCTGATCCTGAATGCACGATAAGAACTACTTTAACCACAGCCACCGAACCCACTTGAGGCAACAGCAGCACAAAGGTGTCTTTAGATTTCAAAACAGCACTTCAAAAAGCTCAAGGCTCCAGCTGAGTAGAGCAAAGCAGTGCACCCAAATTCTGTTCACAGCTCCACTACACAAACAGGAGAAGGAAAACAACCAACAGCGTTACCCAATGCCAGTAACTCGTGTCAGGAGACTGATAGATGCACTTGTATCATCCTGTCGAATCTGCAGAAACAAACCAACAAATCAAACCCTTCTTTACTCCGTTTGCAATAAGCAAAGAAATCTCGAGAAGATAAAACAGCTCAGACAGAGCCTGCTTTGGAGGCTCACTATAAATCAGTGCAAAGCAGTACCAAGGGTAGTCCTGAGCAGCAGGGTAACGCTGTTATGTGCCAAGCCTGAAAAGTGCCTAAGTACCCATGCCAAGGTGAGCACCACGGCCACATCCCAAAACTCCAAAGCCTCCCGGAGTCCCAGTTCCACTTGTCCCAGAGGACATTCAAATACTGACTATATAAGAGACACTATTTTCATAGACAGTTTTGAGGCTTTGGATGAGCTGCTTGTTCCCTGCTTTCTGCTCACCGTAGACTCCGTGTCCACTGTTCTCAGGTTTGACATGAGTGTCTCCAGTGACAGCAGAAATAGCACAAAGCACGCAGGCTGCTTGGCAACTGACAGAGAAAAGCAACTCTCGAGAAAGGCAGCACAAGGGAAGGAAACCCACCTTCTCCAGTTTGCGCAGCTTTCCCGTGGATAAGAACTCATCTATCTTCTCAGCTATTTTAGCGCCTACTCCATCCTAAATGTTGGGTAGGGGGAGATGGGGACAACAAACGGGTTAACTCCAAAGTGACTTTAAAGCCATTATACCTGCAAAAGAAAGGAAAACTCCCCAGAATTTAATCCTGGAAGAACTCTGAGGCCACCGAGACTGTGATCAAACAGGGAACGCGGGGGAACGCGGGGTACAACGCGAGCAGTGTAAGCGCTGCGATACAAGGGCTACATTACAAGTTCCCCCAAAGCACAA